TCTGATATCCAGATCTAAAAGGCTGAGAAAGGGATACAGATAGAAAGACAAACTGTATCAATCAGTGTTATCTATTCACACAACACCCTTGTGACCAAAACAGCATGCAAAACTTATCTCAAGTATATTTAGGCTAAATCCATATGCTAAATATGGTATTCACCATGCAAGAGAGTGGATCAAGTTTATAGTATGTTATCCTTTTTACACACTTAAGTCATACAATTAGAAAAAATTTAAAGAATTAAAAGTGGGGTCTATCCAAGGTTTTAACCCCTTAAGGACCAAACGTCTGGAATAAAAGGGATTCATGACATGTCACATATGTTGTGTGTCCTTAAAGGGAAACTCCAGTGCCAGGAAAACAATCTGTTTTCCTGGCACTGCAGGTTCCTTCTCCCTCCCACCCCCCAATCCCCAGTTGTTGAAGGGGTGAAAATCCCCTTCAGTAACTTACCTGAGGCAGCAACGATGTCCCTCGTTGCTGCTTCCTCCTCCGCGCTGCTCCTCCTTCTGACTGCCGCGCATGCGCATTAGCGTTACCCATAGGAAAGCATTGAAAATGCATTTCAATGTTTTCCTATGGAGAAATGAGCGACGCTGGAGGTCCTCACACAGCGTGAGGACTTCCAGCGACGCTCTAGCACAGGTTTCCTGTGCTAGGAACCAGGAAGTGCCCTCTAGTGGCTGTCTAGTAGATAGCCACTAGAGGTGAAGCTATCCCTGCAAGGTAATTATTGCAGTTTATAAAAAACTGCAATAATTACACTTGCAGGGTTAAGAGTAGTGGGAGTTGGCACCCAGACCACTCCAATGGGCAGAAGTGGTCTGGGTGCCTGGAGTGTCCCTTTAAGGGGTTAAACCCACAAAAGCGTTTTTGGTGCAATCACCAATATATACACAGAGTCCTGGATGCCCCACCTGGTTTTCGGTTGTCCAACTACCACCTTCAAGATTTCAGCTTGACGTCAAGACATGATGATGTTTTTGGGGCCCCTGTAGCACAAGGATGGCCAAAAGGTAAATCCTCAGCCAGGGGCGGTCTGTCCTTTGCCTCCAGGTGGCACTTTTATAGGGCGGCATTTTGTCACCACTATACACTTTATGGTGCCTGCTGTGAGGCTTGGGCAGTCTATGCATATATATATATATATATATATATATAAACACACACACACTGTATACATACATATATATACACACAAACATACACAACTAGGGATTCATGCACTCAGACTAAACTGCAAATGTGCTATTAAGCTGCCAGGTGCTAGTCCTTAGGGCTCCTTATCCAGAGAAAACAGAAGGTGGGTGTCACGGGTGGCGGTCCGGAGACTGGGACCCCTGTATGCCTGATGATGGTAGGAGTCACAGTGAGGAAATGAACAATCAGGGTCTGGTGCAGGGTAAACACACGTCACACCCCCTGGTGTGGAGCACCAGGGTTTGTGCTGCCACATACCAGGACCCTGATGCAGCTTCTGTGGATCCTATGAGCTTGATATTATGCAGATATGTATCCAGTTCTAGAAACAAGACAAGACTAGAACAGGCACCAAACAAGACAAGGCTAGAAGAACCCAGAACTGGCGCAGGACAGAAAGCAGAACCCAGAACATGTACACAAGACATGAGGGAAACATTGGAGATTTAGACATACATAAATGGCCAAGATGTATGCAGTCCACCACTGCGCCAAACTCCAATTACGGTGTGCCCTAACTGCCTAGATATGCATGACTAAAAGTATAACAATAAAACACACACAGTACTTACCTGCAAATAAAGGAGCAGAGGAATGAGACCACTGCTAGCAGGAACACACTGAAACAAAAGGATAAATGGCAAAGGTGGCAAAAAAACAAAACATTTAAAGGAATCCAGGAGACTGGGAATTCCAGGAACGGAATAAAGGAATGAACCCAGAAAACCCAGCATAAAGAAAACCAGACAAAGAATAGATAACTAGAAAAACCCCCAAAAATTAACAAGAGTACTGGATACCAGAAGCCATGGCCAGAAATAATCCACAAACAGGAACAGGACGTGACAGTGGGCTGCACTCATGGTCTTTCTTCAGGTAGAAAACTTTATTGAACATGTATAATATCCATTAATCGACGTTTCAGCCCTCTCTTGGACTTTCATCAGGATCAAAACATAAAACACAACTAAAAACATAAGCATATATATATATATATATATATATATATATATATATTATACAGTATATATAGCCATTACCGGTATATATTTAAGCAGTTTTGCGCCCCCAATACCTTGATCTGTGGAGAGGGGGCCCGGATGTCTGATCTTCCCCTCCTTCAGCTTCATATCTTCTTCTCTTGCAAACCGCAAGAGTGTTGCCACGGGTTGCCATGGCAACGTCCAGCGTGCATTACATGCCGAGCAAAGCATTGCCGTAGCAACTCGCGGTAACGCTCATAAAGTTTGCGAGGAGAAGACATGAAGCTGAAGAAGGGGAATATTAGACTTCTGGACTCTCTCTCCACAGGACACAGCATAATGTGCCACTGGACCACCAGTGAAACTAGTAACTCCCTATCTGGCCACAGGTAAGGGGCAAGGAGGGGGGAATAAACTAAAATAAACTTCACTACACTTCACCCAATACACAACACAGACACAGCACACACTACACTGCATGCACTACACATACATTGCATACACTACACACATGCACACAATGCATTTACTATACACACTGCATACAATACATACACTGCATCTCCTACACAGACACTACATTTACTACACACACTACATGCACTACACACAGACTATGCATCCACTTCACACACTACATGCACTACACACAGACACGGCATCAACTACACACACTACATGTACTAAACACAGACACTGCATCAACTACACACAGGCACTGTATAAACTACACACACTCTGCATCCACTAGACTTTGTCCAATACACAAGCACAAACATTGCACATACTAAACTGCATCCACTACACAAACCCTGCACCCACTATACCGACACTGCACACACTACAGGGCATCCACTACATAAACACAGACACTGCCCCCACTTCCAGGGCCAGATTAAGAGCCCAGTGGGCCTGGTGCTGACAATTATGATGGGCCTAATTTCAAAAAAGGGGACACTGGGTGACTTTGAGACATGAGGGGGCACTTGGAGATATGGAGCACTGAGACACTGCGATGCATAGGGGAAACTGTGATATATGGGGGACACTGGAGACTTGGTTTTGACCTAGAAATGGGGATACTGAGACACTAGGGACACTGGCTGGGAGACATGAGAACACTCATGTCTCTCTGTGTCCCCCAGTGTCTCCATGTCTCTCATTGTCCCCTAGTGTCTCAGTGTCCCCATGTCGCCCAGTGTCCCAATGTCTCAGCGTCCTCAAGTCTCTCACCGTCCCCATGTCTCGCAGGATGGAGCTGCTGTCTGGACTCTGTGCAGAGCTGCTCCCTCGAGAATCAGTGAGTAGTGAGAGGCAGGGAGGTAGATGCTGTAACTCCTTATCTCTGCCTCTCTCCACACAAACAGCGCTGGTATTGCAGAATAATCTCTGTTTATACTCAGCCAGACATTTGTATTACCGGTATTACTGCAATACTGGCACCGGCTAGGCAGCCTCAAATACCTGAGAAATACTTCTAAGAAATACCTGGCAACGATAAGAAATACTTGAGAAATACATGGCAACCCTAAATCAATGGGCCTATTCCATATGCCCG